TATATATATATATATAGTCATGGGACGTGGAGTATAGTGTGGGAGTGGAGTCAAGGGATTTGTAATAGAGATGTATGATATTGGGGGAAATGGGGCAGTGGATTGGGGGAGGGGGGTTGTCACTTCGAGGGGTAAAAAGTATAACTATTGCACTGTGTTGTACAGCTGAAACTAATTCTATAAAATGTGTATTTCATAATAAAAAATAAAAAAAATAAAAAGAGGAGTTTTTCAGGTATACTAGTGTTTACTCCTTTAAAATAAAATTATTTTTATTTTGTATGAAGGTTTTTCTAAAATATGCATATTCCTTGGAAATCACACTTAAAATAATAAAACTGCTGTGAACATTGAAAAAAAAAGACAAGACACAAAACTAGCTTGCTACACGTGATATGAGTAGAATAGGCAATAATTCTGGGAGAAAATGAACATCTAAGGACGGATCTATCAAGGAAGATTCCTAAAGGAACAGGAAGAGAGGGTCAATAGGAAGGTTGATTCACATGAGTGACTGCAATGTGAAAGCCAAAACAACAAAAGTGAAGGATTCTTATACTGAGAGGTAAGATTGGAGAAGAAGGCAGGAAGGAGGTAGCCAGTAGAAGAGCTTGAAGCCTAGAGGACTGGGAAAAGCATTCTACAGAGGTAAGGTATGGTGCATATAAGGGATGAATATGTCCAGAGAAACACAAGCAGAGGTACTCTGGGGTAATAAGGACAAATATGGGGGAAGAGAGAAACACTCCCAAAGACCTGGAATGCTAGACAAGAGATTACTTGTGGAATGTTGGGTCAATGTTTATCTTGCATTTTTAAACAAACACACCTAGGAGTTAGGAGGGACACTAACTGTACCAGACTTGTTTACATTACAAGTGGAAATGTCACATTGTTGATGAGATGTGGTCCCTTCCATTAAGAACTAAATGACACTTTTTCTTTGGTGTAAAACTATCAGGTCAAAGCACTGCCATCATGAAATGAGGACTGCTATCCTCAAAAGGGCACTGAACTTCAAGAAGATCCGAGTTCAAGTTCCAGCTCTGCTACATGCAAGCTTTTGTCCACACAGTGCTTTAACCCCTCTGAGCCTCAAAGGGGTTAAATAGAAGGGACTGGTGGGACTGCAGGCTCTTCCTGATGGACCATTAAATGATACAAACACGCAAGTCATCTCTTCAGTTATCATGGAAAAATATTGGGTTGTCAGAAAAGTCATGACGTATTCTATGTTTTTTAAAGGTCATTTATTTATATAAAGAACAAATGTAAATCAATGATATATTGCCCATTTTGTTCGATAACCTTTTGCCATCTTTCAGTGAGCTTCATAATTCCTCGTTCAGAGGACCTGTCTTTAGTTGCAAAAAACTGAACAAGGTGCTGATTTACAGCCTCATCTGAATTGAACGTTATACCACACAAGGAGTTTTGAAAAGAGCGAAACAAGTGGAAGTCTGACGGCGCAAGGTCAGGCGAGTATGGTGGGTGTGGCAACACATCCCATCCAAGCTCCAATAATTTTTGACGGGTGATCAAACTTGTGTGTGGTCTCACGTTGTCACGATGGAACACAACTTCTTTACAATTAACAAGCTCTGGACATTTCTGGGTGATGGATTCATTCAAACTGTCCAATTGCTGACAGTACACATTCAAATTGATTGTTTGGTTCCTTGGTAGGAGCTCGAAAAACACGACACCTTTAAAATTCCACCACACTGAGAGCATAACCTTCCTCTGATGAATGTCTGCTTTCGATATCCTTTGAGGTGAATCATCATGTCAGGACCAAGACCGTTTTGCACACCACATTGTTGTAAACAATCCACTTGTCATCACCAGTTATCAGTCACTTCAAAAAAGGATCGTTTTCCTCACATTTAATGAGCATATTGCAGATGTTTATATGCACTGTCAAATGAACTTCTTTGAGTTCATGCAGAACCCAAATATGGAGCTTGCTTACCATCCCAGCTTCTTGAGGTGGTCGTGAACTCTTTTTTTGATTTTTTTTTTTTAGCGGAGCCATCCTGTTGGCAGCTCAGCGGCTGCTCAGCTCGGGCCGGGACTCAAACCACTGTTGCTCAGAGCTCAAACTCTTGAGCGAGCTCTTAACCAACTGAGCCACTCAGCCAGCCCCATAGTCATGAACTCTTGAATGATGGATGTTCAATGTTTCTGCAATGTCTCATGCCGTGTAACGTGAGTTTGACTTGATCAATGCCTTTATTTTGTCATCATTAACCTCGGTGGGCCTCCCTAACTGAGGAGCGTCATTGAGATCAAAATCACCAGCACGGAATTTCGTGAACCATCGTTGGCACTGACATTCTTGTAGAGCATTGTCACCATAAACTTTATGCAACTTTTCACAAGCTTGACATGCGTTCTTCCCTTTATGGAAGTAAAATAGTAAAATATGGCAAAAATGCACAGTTTGGTCTTCCATCTTCAACTTGTTGTAAAATCAAAACTCAACCAAATTTCACTCAACTTTTTTTTAGAATGAAGCTAGAATTCTCAGCTGTCAAATGACATAGCAATAACATAGATGTAAATGACTCTAATACTTCCAAAAATGAACTAGTGCCATCTGTTGCAAACATGCGTCGTGACTTTTCCAACAATCCAATAACTTGCCATTTTATAGGTTTTTATCTTTACATACAGCTAAGGTTTACGTTTAGGAATCTACCAAGTAAGATATTAGGGGCTACTAATGTTTAGAATTCATACATTAAAATTAGCACATTATTCAAGTTCACCAAGAAAGGTTAATCATCATTTCTATGCACAACATTGCAAAGTTCCTGCTCATACACACTTGAAGATAATTAAAATTCCCACTTTTGGAAGAAGAATGTTAATAGTGATAAACTTATTTAAGTTTTCTGAAAAATTTATAAGGCAGTACTTGGGGATATAAAAACCATATGATTGAGATCATATTCTTCCCTCAAAAGTAAATAATTTCTATTTTTCCTCTTCAGCTCTTTATTGTCACTGAGTTACTTTTTCCCTACCAAAAAAAAAAAAAAGTGGTGCGGAGGGGTTGGGGGATGAAATGTATGTGACGTGGTAGGTCTTTTGCATCTTAAATAGTCTTTGGCCAGAAGCATATGAGAACAAATTGCCTGGATTTAATATTTTCAGTCATGACAAGTTTTTAAACCAGAAAACCAGTAAAAGCTATCAGAAGAGGTGATGATGACCATTTAATAAAGATCCAGCTCTACAGGAATTCTATTTGAACATGGAATGCAGACCCTCCCGAAGGCCACTCAGCTTATGTTTCTTGAAACACTCAGATTACAAAGGAAAGAAATACTCAAACAAGATTTAAATTGGTGTATATTTTAAATGCTTACATTACACGTTCAATGCATATTGACAAAATACAACATAAAATAATCATACCATTCATAAAAATATTACAGGATTTAAATTTTAATGGATTTGAACACGCAGACACTATAGTACAGTAATGGGACATGTGTTTAAAGTTATTTGAATGTCTTCTGTTTTAGGTCAGGTTCTTCATAGAAGTGAACCTTGGGATGAAAATTTGGGTGCAAATGATTTACTAAGGAAGGGCTACCTGGAGAAAGCTGTCAGAGGGTGAGGAAGTCGATCAGGGAAGGGGAAGAGGCTGTGCAGGGGGTGCTTTGGGAGAGAGGTGCCCGCCCCAGCCTGACGCACAGGGAGCTCTTCAGTGTAATCAGGATGGGGCGAGGGAGCTGGGCTTTTCCACTCCTGCACCATTGATGGTGGCAGGGAAGGGGAAAAGGAAACCTATAGGTGCCTCTGACTCAAAGCAGCTCCCCCAGCCTGAGGCTGTCTTCAGAATGAACAGAGTCACTGTGCAGGCAGCTAGGAGCAAAACATACAGAGGCCAGCAGAGGGGTGAGCATACAGGTATGGTTCAAGGAATCCAACGGGGCCCAGGGGAACTGACGGTGTCTCTTACAGCATCTGTGCTTGCCATCCTTTGATCTTGTCAGCATATCTCTGGAGATGATATTATACATTTCCATTTGAGGCCTTCATGAAGGTGAGGTCTCACGCAGCTCATCCCCTCCTAGTCCTAGCATAATGGAATCGAGGATGGCCAAGAGGACCCTACTGCCATGTTCTGTGGATTTAGTATATTCAGTGAAACTGCCAAGAGTTAAAAAGCAGCAACCTTCCTAAAATCTTTTGACATATCTTAGTTTCACCCTCGACCTTTTTTTCAAGTTAAACTTTTTTATTCTGATTTTATTCTGCAGATTCACATGAAGTTGGAAGAAATAGTACAGGGAGATCTCCTGTAAGCTTTACCCAGTTTCTACCAATGGCAACATCTTGCAAAACTATAGTACAATATCATAGCCAGGATATCCACATCGATACAGTCAAGATTCAGAACAATTCTATCACAAAAGGATCCCTCATGTTGCCCTTTTATCACTGTATTCACTTCCCTCCTTCCTACTGAGTCCCTCTTTAATCTGTTCTCCATTTCCATAATTTTATCATTTCAAGAATATTATATAAATGTAGTTCTATAACTTGTAAATTTTTGGGATTAGCTTTTTTGCTATGCATAATTCTCTGGAGAGTCATCCAAGTTTTTGTATCAGCATCTCCTTCCTTTTTATTGCTGAGTAGTATTCCATGGTATAGATATCTGTACTACAGTTTGTTTAAACATTCACCCAGTTGTAGGTCCATACAAAACGAAGTTACTGTGAACATGCCTGTACAAGTTTTTGCCCTTCATCTTCTTAACAGAGTCTTTCACAGAGCAAACATTTGTCATTTTGATGAAGTACAGTGTACCAGTTTTTCCTTTAATGGATCATGTCAAGTCTGAGAACTCTTTGCCTAGCCCTATATCCTGAAGAATGGCCCCCCATGTTTTTCTTTCATACAATTTTCATAGTTTAACATTTTACATTTAAGTCCATAATCAGGTTCAGTTAACGTTTATGTAAAGTGTGGTGAGGTTCATTCTTTTGCCTATAGATAGATGTCCAATGGCTCCTGCACCATTTGTTGAAAAGACTCTCCTGTGCCCACTGAGTAAAATTCCCCTAGCCTCCACCTCTCTGACTCTCTAAGACTGGTTAGGTCCCTCCACTGTGGGGTCACAGCTCCTAAAAGGCAGCCCTTCCACACAGCTCCCTCTCCTTCTGCTACTGCCCCCAACCTCCCAACCCCTTTCACTGGCCCTAGGTCACTGCAACCTCCCCTGTGGCTTCCCCGATTCTCCCACGCCTTTGTAAAACAGAGTCCCTTTATTAAACTCTCCTCTAATTACCCAATTTAAGCGGGCCATCTGTTTCCTGTTAGGACTGCATGACACATCCTACAAATGACAAATTTTCTAAATCCCAAACAGCAGACATATACTGTCAATTGTCACAAAGCAATAATCATTTATCTTTATTTTTGTGAAAAGTCATTTACAGGTATTTATAGGAAGATGGATTTCCACTTTAAGACAGATGAAGAGTCATTAAAATCGCATGCAATCAAACATTTTCTTTGTTGTTTCATTTTGTTTTAACTGTGTCTGTGGTATTTGTAAGTGCAGTATTTGCTCATTCAGCTGCTATACCATTACAGTTGAAATACTGACTATCCATGTGTACTGCCCCCATCATTTATACTCTCTGCATCTATTTGTATCAGGAATTCTTTCTTGCTACCCAGTTAACACTCTGCTCAGCCAGACTGAGACCACAGCCTTCTCTGAGGAAGGTGATTAGATCACCCATAAATTTCTATGATCTATATCCCTCTTGAGCTCCTTTATGAGGACAGATAATCAAGAACTACAGTGTATGCGAAACTGATGAAAAATACATTTTATCCTAGTTGTATAAAAGGAAACAAACCTGTGTAAGAAATTAATATTTAGCAGTAGCAGTAAAATAAAATCATAAACCTTTACATAAAAATATTAGAGTTCAGTGTGCTTGATTTCTGATGATTTCTATCCAAAAGAAATTTCCTGTAAGTTTTTTTTAAAACTTAGAAAATATATCACAATTACAAATATTAGGTTGTATCTACATAGCCAAAATGAAGTGGAGTTAAGGCAACTGTCCAGGTAACTTAGGATAAAAAAACACTCTAAAATAATGGCCATTATGTCTATATGCAAGGGCAAGTAAAGGACTGATGCAGTTTTTTACTACTTAAAAAAATCAAATACTTCTACCGTATTCATTTATTTTATGCCAAAGTTTCAATGTTTTTGTCTGAAAGGCTTGGGGTCTCTGCTATCTGAATGTTGACCTCAGTTGTGCAATTCATTCTGAGTACAGACACCGACTGGAGGAAAAAAACTGGAGTTTTCACCTTCACTATACGGACTGGTTATCAATACTGATCCATAATAAATGGAAAATTTGCTTTTTATAGATCCCTATTCTGTGAGGGCTGAAATAGACCTTCAAATTCATCTAGTCCGGCTCCCTCGTTTTATAGACAAGGAAATTGGAGCCCAGACAGGTTCAGTAACTTGCTCATGGTCACAGCGATGACATCCAGCCCAGCACTCTTCCCTACCCAACCCTTAATTACACCATCATTTTACCAGCGCATCTACATGTGGCAAAACTTTCCAACTGTTTTGTTTACTATGTTTTCTTCCTTCTGCATTTTGTCTGGTCATATCTAGAAAAGGTGCTGTGGATACATGGGAGGGGCTATCACTCAGTCACAGCCAATCAAGAGGATATCTGCCTGAACTTTCAAATAAATTCAGTATTTTAAATAGTAACGGAACCAATTTGGATATTGAATATGAAGAACGCTGGTTTGGTTGCCATCTTTTAAATCCATGTACTCATGAGCTTTTTTTGGTGGGGGGGTAGGAGGAGGGAGAAATATGAAATCAGAAATGACTGATAAATTGGGCCTCTTTCGCTTGTCATGTGCTGCATACAAACAGCTCAAACAGCAAAAATTGAGAAATACTAGGCCAAATCATTTGGGGCCCAACCCTTTAACCAGCAAATGGGACAAGTGAATGAAACAGACCAACGCTTTTAGTGGCTTTTGACTTGATTCCACTGGATTAGACACAATCTGAATTCAAAATCAGATTTATTTTAACATTGCAGTGAAAGTGCTACTAAACAGAAAATATAATAAAGTCAATATCCATCAAGCAAATTGCTTCTTATTTTTGTAACAAGGAAAAACCTTTTTAATTTGATTTTATTTTATTTGGCAAATGGATCTATAGTTATAGAATATGAAGACACTTAGGACTAATCTCCCCAATATGAAAATGTCCCCAAATTATCAAGTTGAAAGGCACATACCACTGCCCCAGCAGTTCATTCAAGTTGTCTTTAGCATGTGAAATTTTAATTGTGCTTTTAGCTTGTTATCAATGCAATATGGCCTTAAAAAGTGACATCCGTGCATATGTATAATTTCTTTTCAAAGGGACCAATCTTCTTCTCCTTTTCTGATTTTCACTTTCTGATGATCAATTTTTGTTAGTTCTTTGTTTTATATAAAGGACCTAATCCATGATGTTCTCAGAAAGATGCACTTACTTCACAGTCTGTATCCTATTTTATCTAGAAACCAAGTTTGAATTATCTTTGTGTCCTAACACAAAATGGAGTTTCTTGAAGTATCAGTGTGATGGTATTTCCATGGTATCATTTGCTTGAATGCAAAAGTCCTGGATTATTATCTTTTCTCACTGGTTGTTTAAGGCTTACTTCACTTCCAGAAGAGATGATTGGCAAACTATTATCCATGTGGTATCTGATAAGGTGGCCGACATTATCAAATACATGATCCTTGGTCCTCACCTTGAAAAGGAAGTACAAAAGTATTTAGGTTAAATGATAATAGTTTTCCTGAAAGATGGAAATAATTGGGGGTGGGGGGAGAGGAAAGAACCACATATCCCTGAAAGAGATATTTTGCTGAATAAAAAAAAGAAAAGGTAGCTTTAAACTCTGTATACCTTAGTATACAATTTTTTCATTCCCCATTACCTTTATAAAGCAACTGTCTTTCCCAGTTAGGAAAATGGAAAGCATTTGTCGCCCAATCCAAATTTGCAATCAACCTCTTTGCCATGTGACTATTTGCTATATTCTATCATGTCACCATTCCTATAAATATTTATGTGGGTTGTATACAAGCATGACTTTCAGGATTATAATTAAATCTCATCAAGCAGAGTTCTTCCATCATATACTGTTTGTGCAGAAAGCAGGCTTTTCTGGAGAGGTCCTACCCCTCCTTGGAGGTTCAACACAAATCCCGTGCCCACCAAGAAGCCTCCTCAGGCCTCACTTATAGGTATTTGTGTCTCCTTCCTGCAGACTTCATGCTGGTAATTCATAAATATTTGTTACATAGAGCTTCCTGTCCTGCATGCCAAACTCAGCGAACTCAGTTGCCCTAGGCCTGCCTTCTCTCGTGGACTTTCCTCCCTCGTGTAATTATATCCTCACCCTAGGCACGGGCAGAGCAGAAGACATTTCTCTCCATCATGACCACTGGCTCAGCAACCTGGCCATAATGTACTCCTGCTCAGAGCGAGGCTGTGATCTGTCCGGGAGAGGGAAGGAGTACAGCCAGGGAGCACCCTGTTCCATAATTCTGCTACCTTTCCTCAAGAGGCTCTTTAAGCTCTGTCTCGATACTGGTTTTCTGCATAAACACACACACACACACACACACACACACACACACACACACACACACACACTTATTGGAATAACTAACCAAGTTTGAATACGGACTGTGAATTACATAATGGTATTGTAGCAATGTTTTAATTTCTTGATTTTGATCATTGTTCTATGGCTATGTTCTATCCCTATCCTTAGAAAATGCACACTCAAGGATGTAAAGGAAAAGGGCGTGGTATCTCCAACTTACTCTCAAATGGCCCTGACCTTGGAAGACTTTTTAATCTCTTCCATCTCAACCCCAGCCCAAGTCAAATCAGCTGGCGGGTTCCGCCAGTCAGTGCTCTGTCAGTGCCCCCTTCCCTCCTCTGCATTTCTCCTGCCTCCATTCTGATTCAAGCTTTCGCTAGTTTTTACCTAGAAGCCCCTAATTACTTTCTCTGTCCTTGGTTTTCCCCCATTCTCTCTAACTGATCTTGCATGCAAATACCAAATTAATCTTCTTAGTGCCAGGATTATAAACTAACCACTCTGGGTGAATACACCAAGAGGTGTTTTAGTTTGCTGGGGAATAAGGTGGAAGAGAATTTTTAAGTATTTCAAATAAAAAATGGGGAGATTTCATATAAAATCTAGTTTTGTGGCTTCTTCGGGAAAATCAAAGCTGGCTACACCAGCCCCTGATCCACATGGCAGCAACTGACTGGCACTGAGAGGTGACTGTCCCCCTGACACAGGACACGCACTTTCAGTTCATCACAGGCCACCATACCGCTGGCTCCTTCCATCTCTTGCCCACTTGACACACTTGCAGTGCTGGCTCTGCAAACATGTGCTGCTGTAACCCCAATCACACAGGCTGTGCGCGTGCGTGTGCGTGTGCGTGTGTGTGTGCGCGTGTGCGTGTGTGTGTGTGTGTGAGTGTGCATGTGTGAGTGGTAACACGATATCACAGATCTACCTGCTGAACAAATTTGTAAGTGTTCACTCTTCAGGAATATTTCATTTTACTGCGCTTCACTTTATTGTGCTTTGCAGAGATTGCATTTTTACAAATTGAAGGTTTGTGGCAACCCTGTGTCAAGCAAGTCTATTGGCACCATTTTTCCAACAGCATTTGCTCACTTTGTGACTCTGTGTCACATTTTGGTAATTCTCACAATATTTCAAGCTTTTTTAATTATTATATTTGCTATGGTGATCTTTGATGTTACTTTTATAATTGCTTGGAGGCAACATGAACCATACCCATATAAGACAGAAAACTCAACTGATAAAGGCACAATAGTATGTGCTCTGACTGCTCAACCGACTGGCCATTCCCCTGGGGAATGTATGTTGGATAAATACCCAGAAGTGGAATATTTGGATCATATGGAGTTCTTTTTTAAAATTTTGAGGAAACTACATACAGATTTCCATAGCAGCTGCACCACTTTATATTTTAACCAACAGTGCACAAGGTTCCAATTTCTGCACACCCACACTTGTTCTTTCCTGGGTTTTTTTTGATAATGGCCATCCTAACAAGTGAGAGATGAAGATGTCTTACTGTGAATTTGACTTGCATTTCCCTGATGGTAATGTTGCTGAGCATCTTTTCGTATACCTGTTGGCCATTTGTACATCTTCTTTGGAGAAACGTCTATTCAAGTTATCTATCATTTCTAAATCAGGTTATTTGTGTTTCTTTGTTTTGTTTTGCTATTGAGTTGTAGGAGTTCCTCTTATGTTTTGAAAATTAATCCCTGATCAGATATATGGCTTGCAGATATTTTCTCTCATTCTGTAGGTTGCCTTTTCACTCTGCTGATTGTTTTTCCTTTGCTGTGCAGAAACTTTTTAGTTTGATGTAGTCCCACATGTCTATTTTTGCACTTGTTGCCTGTGTTTTGGTTTGGGTGCCATATGACATTGCCAAGACCAATGTTATAAAACTTTCCCCTTATGTTTTCTCCTAGGAGTTTTATAGTTTCAAGTCTTACGTTTAAGCCTTAAATCTATTTTGAGTTGATTTTTGTGTAAGGTATAAAGGGCCCAATTTCACTCTTTTGCATGTGGATATCCAGTTTTCCTGACACCTTTGTTGCAGAGCCTATCCTTTCCCCATTGTATACTCTTGGCAACCTTGTCAAACATCATTTGACCATATATGTATAGGTTTGTTTCTGAGCTGTCTATACTGTTCCATTAGTCTATATGTCTTTATGCCATACCATACTGTTTTGATTATTGATCTTTCAAAATTTGTTTGAAATTATTAAGTATGATGCCTCCAAGCTTTATCCTTCTTTCTCAAGATTGTTGTGGCTATTTGGGGTCCTCTGTGGTTCCAAATGAATTTTCGGATTATTTTTCTACTTCCGTAAAAAAATGCTATTAGGATTTTAATATAGACTGCAGTGAATCTACAGATTGTTTTGGGTAGTGTAGGCATTTTAACAATATTGTATCTTCCAATCCATGAATATGGAACGTCTTTCCATTTATTTGTGTTTTCTTTCATTTCTTTCAGCACTGTTTTGCAGTTTTCAGTGTTCAAGTCTTTTGCCTCCTTGGTTAAGTTCATTCTTAAGTATGCCATTCTCTTTTGATATTATTGTAAATGCATTGTTTTGTTAATTTCCTTTTTGAATTGTTCATTATTAGTGTATAAAAATGCAACTGATTTTTGTATGTTGACTTTGTATTCTGCAACTTTGCTTAAATTGTTATTAGTTCTACCAGGTTTCTTTTGTGGAATCTTTAGGATTTTCTTCATAAAGATCATGTCATCTGAAATAATTTTACTTCTTCCTTATCAATTTGTATACCTTTTATTTCTTTTTCTTGTGTCATTGCTCTGTGTAGCACTTCTAATATTATGTTGAATAAAAGTGGCAAGAGTGGGCATTCTTGTCTTGTTCCTGATATTAGAGGAAAAGTTTTCAGTTTCTCACTGTTGAGTATATTAGTTGTGGGCATTACATACGTGGCCTTTACTATTCTTAGTTTGTTGAGTGTCTATTTTTTTTATCATGAAAGGGTATTAAATTTTGTCAAATGATTTTTCTTCACCTATTGAGGTGATCATGTGATTTTTATCCTTTATTCTGCTAATGTGGTGTGTCATGTTGGTTTTCATATGTTGAACCATCCCAGCTTTCCAGGGATAATTCCCACTAGTTCATGGTACAATCCTTTCAATGCACTGTTGAATTTGGTTTGCTAGCATTTTGTTGAGGGTTTTTGCATCTATGTTTATCAGGGATATTGGCCTGTAATTTTCTTTTCTTGTAGCGTCTTTTTTTGATTTTGGTATCAGGGTAATGATGGCCTCATAAAAGGAGTTTGGAAGTATTTCCTCCTCTTCAATTTTTTGAAAAAATTTAAGAAGGATTGAAATTAATTATTCTTTACATGTTTGGTAGAATTCACAAATAGGTCATCTGGTCCTGGGCTATTCTTTATTAGAAGTTTTTGATTACTGATTCAGTCTCCTTAATAGTAATTTATCTGTTCAGATTTTCTATGTCTTTATGATTTGATCTTGGTAGACTGTATGTTTTTAGGAGTTTATCCATTTCTTCTAGGTTATCTAATTTCTTGACATATAATTGTTCTTGGTAATCTCTTATAATCATTTAATTTCTATTGCATCAGTTCTTTGCTCATCTGTTGCTTTTTGTTTTATATCCCACATATGAATTAAATCATACAGTTCTTACATTTTTCCATCTGATTTATTTCACTTAGTATAATACTCTCAATATCCCTCCATTTTGTTGTAAATTGGCATCAGTTGTAATGTTGCTTCTTTCAGTTCTGATTTTATTTGAGTCTTCCTTCTGGTTTTATTAGCTAACCTAGCTAAAGGCTTGTCAATTTTGTTTATCCTTTCAAAAACCAACTCATAGTTTGGTGTATTTTTCCTGTTGTTTTTCTATTCTCTTTCATTTACTTTTGCTCTAATCTGAATTATTTCCTTTTTTCTGCTAATTTGGGGTTTAGTTTGTTCTTCTTTTTCTAGTTCATTGATGTGTAAAATCAGGTTATTTTAGAGCTTTCCTTTTTTCTATGTAGACATTTACCACTATCAGCTTCCTTCACATTGCTTTTGCTGCATCCCATCGTTTTGCTGTGTTTTCATTTTCATTTGTTTCCAGATATTTTCAAATTTCCCTTTTCATTTCTTCTTTGACTCATTGGTTGTTGAAGAGTGTGTTGTTTAATTTCCACATATTTGTAAACATTAGAGTTTTCTTCTGCCATTAATTTCATTCCATTGTAATTGGATAAGATATTTGGTAGGATTTCAATCTCCTCAAATTTGTTAAGACTTGTTTTGTGACCTAACATATAATCTATCCTAGGATTTGTGACCTAATAGGTTAATGTTTCAAGTGTGCTTGAGAAGAAGGTGCATTCTGCTGCTGTTGGGTAGAATGTTCTGTACATATCTATTAGGTCCATTTGATCTATAATATATAGTGTTATTTAAGTCCTTTGCTTCCTTGTTGATCTTCTTTCTGGATGTTCTATCCATTATTGAAAATGGGTTATTGAAATCTTCTACTATTATTGTTTTGTTGTCTATTTCTCCCTTCAGTTATGTCAATGTTTGTGTCATATACTTGGGTGCTCTGATGTTAGGTGCATACAAATTCATAATCGTTATATATTTCTAATGAATTAATTCTTTTATCATTATTTAATGTCATTCTTTGTCTCTTTTAACAGCTTTTGACCTAAAGTCTACTTTGTCTGACATAAGTATGACCACCCCTACTCTCTTTTGGTTATCATTTGCATGGAAAATCTTTATCTATCCTTTCACTTTCAACATATGCATGTCCTTAAATCTAAAGTGAGCCTCTTATAGAAAGCATATAATTGGATTGTCTTTTTTTTATCCATTTAGTTGTTCCACATCTTCTGAATACAGAGTTTAAACAATTAAAGTAATTATTTGATAAGGAAGGACTTATTATTACCATTTTGTTGTTTTAGTCCAGGATCATATCTGTCTACAGGTATCCTCTGTCCCAGCCATACATTTTTTTATTGGCATAGTACCATTCTACTGCTCTGTCTGTTCCTGTGGTTCCTTCCCTATACTTCAAATGTACCCCTTTTTAAAATTTTGCCCTCTTTCAAGTTTCATCATACATGTCAGGCCCTGCAAGGAGCGTTTCAGTTTGCCTCATCCAGAGCACTCCTTTATCCTGAGAAACATCACAGTGCTTTGGTCAAACCATTCTTATGTCATTCATCCTTACAATTATTTAAGCATCTATTTTATGAAATTGTAAGTACCCTGAGAGCAAGGACTATCTATGTGATACTGAGTAATGGTCAACTGTGAATCCTTGTACTTCCATGTAGATAGCCATTTAATTCACTGAATTGAATTGAGAAGGGCAGAACTGATCCTGCAGGGTGGACTCCACCTCAAACCCCTCCACTAACCTCAATTTAGCACTTCCTGCGCCAGCTGGTAGGTTCAAGAAAAAGTTAACCCTTAACCTTGAACACTTTTCAATATAATAAAGTTGTGGATCTGTCATTCTGAGTAACCTTACTCACAAGACCCTACAAGGAACACAAGGAGAAGTCAGTGGTACCTTGCCTTCCGGATCTACCAGGAGAAGGTGTTTTGCCTGGCCTCCCTGTAGTCCACTCAGTACATACTGGCCAGGAGATGTTGCACTCTCTCGAACCAAAAAGTCCCCGTCCTTGACTAAGAGGCTCTCTGCCGCCTTCCTGCTCAGCTTGCCGTGGTAGCAGTCTTCACTCCGCAGCTGCTGCCTAATGTGTGGCAAAGAATGTGAGCTGGCAGGCTGGGTCATGGCACCTGGCTGAACAGTTTCTGGTGCTTCTGAAGTCAAAATACAAAAGAGAGACACCATCAAGTTATCTCCTCATTCATTCATTCATTCATTCACTTAGCAAATACAACTTGAGCCCTACTGTGTGCCAGGCACTATTTAAATAATGCTATTTCTAAAACAAATGGGGTTTCTGTTTTCAGAACATCCAATAAGCTCTAATTTAATAGGAGATCTAAACATTGCCTTTGGCTTCTGTTACCAAAAAGGCTTGTCCAGGTGCAGTTTTCCTTTCATATAAGAAATGTCCCATGAGAACTGCTTTTATAACTGCAGAGACAGGCTCTTTATGGTCCGATGGCTATATGTTGAAGAGAAAGAGGTGTATGCTGCACCTGGATTACAGAGAGCTTCTAAGACTTTCCAAACTCTTTGAAAATGCCTACAGTAACTTTGGGCTTTGCCCTCTTTTCAGCATTTAGCTTTTTTTGAAACCAAATTACTAATGTGCTTCAGAGATGCTTCTGACCAAGCACTTCAAAGCTATGCTGATCCTAAGAGTATTCCTATCAAATGACCACTCTGCTGTTGGTGTCATTCACTTGCCTGGAAAAAAACAGGGTCAATCAGGTAAAAAAAAAAAAAAAAAAGGCAAACATTGAGGCATGACCTGAGACTGCTTCCCAAGGCTCCGCAGGATGAGCATGATCCAGAGCAAGGACACCGGGGATGACAGATATACCCAAGTAGCACTTAACAGCACTATTGATACGCACAGTGATAATTATTATTGTGCAGTTCCCGTTTATCGAATATGATAGGCACTGTTCAATGCTTCAAATATATTATCTTGTTTGACTCAAAATTAGACAGGCAAGAAAATGGATCTTTTAAAAGTCTAAATGACTTACCCAAAGTCACACAGCTAATATGTTATAGATCTGGGATTTGAAACAAGATCCAACTCCAAAGCCCAGGTACCGTATTTGCCGGCGTATAAGACGACTGGGCGTATAAGACGACCCCCTAACATTTCCACTCAAAATACAGAGTTTGTTATATACTCGCCGTATAAGACTACCCCCTCTTCCGCACACCTTCCACACACCAAATAAAAGGTAAAACAATATCAGATTTGATTTGGCCCACTGAAGTGCAAACAAGCGTATTGTATTTCGTGTCACCACATAACTGTTTTGGCGATGTTGAGCCACCATGTCTGCTACATGTTTTTCGAGTTCTGGCCAGTGTGGGGTGCCTCTTCTTAATGCACACTTACCCCTTGGCATACTCTTTAATGCTTTCTCATTTGATTTCCAGTCCCGAACCATCTTTTCTGTTACTCCATATTGTCTTGCAGCAGCACAATTATTATTTTCCTTAGCAAAGTTTATAACTTTCAGTTTAAAATTTGCATCATACTTCTTTCTTTTGGCTGGTGCCATGATAGGGATGATAGGGGTTTGACTGGTCGACATTTTCTATGCTGTACTGTACAATGGTGCAGTATTGTGGTTGGCTGTTGGCTGTATACAAAGCCTGATTTGATTGGTCCCTGCTCCCTGTTTGCCCGCCCTGTCACTATAGCAGTCTGGTCCACCCTTGCATCAGCATCTTCCTGGGACCTCACTAGTGCGCAAGTGCGAGCTCTTCAACATTCTAACAGGCACCATGATAGCGCAAAATCGCGAATCTTCAATGCATATGTAAAGAAATATATGGTAACCCGAATTTACCACACTCGCAAAATCGCACACAGCCGACCATACACCCAGCAGCGCTGCTGATGCCTGAACGGTATTTGGAATGAAGTGGGCGGGCATCGGGAGGCCACTATGGCACGGGGCAAGCACTATGGGCAGTCTATCTGAAGTGTACCTGGCGTATAAGACGACCCCCCACTTGGAGGCATATTTTTCAGGGCCAAAAAATCGTCTTATACACTGGAAAATACGGTAATTAATCATCACACTGTACGGCCCTTGCTTTGGATTGAAAATCTTTCCATTTTCACAACCGGTCTTGCCACTCTACCTGTATTCACAAAGGTCCTTAGTAGATAACAAGGCTATCAGGATGCTATATAGCATCTCCAGAAGTAATAACATAAAATGCTTATGTCTGAATCTAGCTAAAAGTCATATGTTTAATATGGCAAATTTACCAGGAAAATACCCCAAGAAATCAGAATTTGTCTTTTTAAATGCAAAAGACCTTTTGCATAAAAATCAGCCTTTATCTGCAAAGTGGTGTATACGTGTCCTTACACAAGGGTCTCACAAATGAAAAACCTCTTGATTTTGAGTTTTACATCTTATATGTGACAATCCTATAAAGTCATTGATATAGGCAACCAGTGAGCGCCCTGTAGACATAATGCAGTTCTCCTGTTACATGGTATAGTTTCGTCCCTGCTTAGGCACTCTCTCTGCATAACACAGTTATGATGCCACATTCACAAGTATATCTTTTAAAAATATCTTTCATCTATGTCTAGTGGCTATAAATATTCTCCTCTACAAACAATCAGGTCTTTCAATTGTCGCTAGAAAATGTCTGAAGAAATGTGTCTAGATATGATGAATAATACTTGAGGTTGGTCTTAGTGCTGTCTGCTTTCAAGCATAATGGGGAACTTCTGATGAGTAGCTGTGTGTGTTTATGTGTGTAAGAGAGAAAGTGTTTTTGCAAGTGTGGAGGAGAAACACGCATGCATGTGTGTGGGCACACACATCTTAGTGCATGATGGCTTTTGGTTTACTCCAAGATATTGGTGGAGAGCTTTTAGACAAGGACAAAACAAAAGAAAAACAGACATTATATCATCTTGAAAAGAGACAACAGATCATGGGCCAGCCAGAGGATCTGGACAATATTTTCCTAATGCGGTTTCCCAAATTAGCACAAGGTCAAGATACACTGTGCTAGGAGATTTCAATCATTCAAACATTTGTTGAAAATCTATTTCTACTAAAAGAGGATGTCACACAGACTTTCGTAAATTTTTGTTTTAATTTTAAAAGCTATACATGCTAATTTTTTTAAATCTTGGAAAAATAATGGAAATTAATCACCTATGGTCCTATCAATAAATATAACCACTCTTAAGATGGTGGTGCATTATCTCTTATCTTGGTCCTTTCCTTACATTAAGTTGGCTTTGAGAATGATAATCATAATTTAAGTATAGTTATTTATATATAATTTCCATACAATATTAAAAGAATTATTGACTTGATATATTTTCTCAGAGGTAGTGAAGATTAAGAAAACAAGAAGGGGGCCCGCCTAGTGGCTCAGTTGGTTAAGAGCTCGCTCAAGAGTGCGAGCTCTGAGCAACAGCGGTTTGAGTCTCGGCCCGAGCTGAGCAGCCGCTGAGCTGCCAACAGGTGGGAGGATGGCTCAGCTAAAAAGAAAAAGAAAACAAGAAGGAAGGCCATTCTAGATTTAATTAAAACCAAAAAAGAGAAAAGTGATAGGATCGTGGAAGACAGTAATCATGTCATCTTGGAGTTCCATTAGAAACTAAAGACATATGGTTCACAATTAAAACTTTAGGAAAGTACAATATCCACACTTATATGTATCTGATGGGCAAAACCTTTGAAAGGGCGAATACAGCTTAGGAAAGAGAAAAAATCCTAACATGAAAAATCTGAAATAAACAATTGCAAGTAATGCCAATGAGAAAGGGGGGATAAGACATTTAAAGACATCAATGTGAATTGTGAAGACGGCATATTGTTGCATTCAGTTTTTAAAAGCACATGTAAAAGGATATTTTTGACAGTATTGATTATTATATTATCAAAGGACTGAAAAATAACTGTTTATAGAATTAAAAATATATACAAAAGTAAGGATAGCCACATAACCAAAATAAAATCAGAAGAGGGATATAAACTTGTGAGAAGAACGTCAGGGTAAGGGGACAGTTCTAGGAGAGAAGCCTACCCTTTTCTCCCCACGACATGTTATAATGACTTCATCTCTAATTCAGGAGGCCCGTAAATAGCCAATACTCTTCAGCCATGTAGTTATATTTTTTAAAGTTGCCATGAACACTGAATGAGTGAAAAGTGAACCATTGTCCCCAGGGGAAATGCAGGGTTAAGTTCCTCCAAGCCTCAGGTCACAATATTTTCATCAATCATGCATAACCTTGTTTTAAGTATGTTTCTGTCTAAAGACACCATATTTAGTATATGTTATTGACTCATTAACACTGAACTCACAGTCAACAGCTCTATAACCTATGCCCAAATGAAGCCAATCTAACACATATTTTCTCTGAAAGGCACATCACGGCCTTCTTGAGCTTCGGAACACTAGACAGAACTTCAGCACTATACTTAGAGGCCATTCTAAACAGCAAAATCATTAGAAATATCACAAAATGTGAAAAACATGGCACTAAACAGACAGCAATAGGACACTTGTCTACAATATGAAAGCTAAAACAAAAAGGCAAAGCACTGCCTTGTTTGACCTCAGCTGGGAATGTGTGCATTGAACAACTTAAATTTTCTCTCGTTCTGCGTATGTCCACAAATGACCACAAAAGTGCCATGAGTTTTGATTTGGGGGTTACAAATAAATTTTAGTGAGTGAGCAAATTCTCAAATATGGAATTCACGAATAATGAGAATCAACTGTATATTGTTTATCAGTATGGATCACTTGGTGTGTGAAAATTTTAAAATAGGAACTTATTTGGATTATTGAGGAGGAAAGCTATGATCACTCTATAACATGTCTAAAAATTTGCTACTAAAAGATCTTAAGATAAAATGTTAAGCATAAATGAAAGTCTAAGATACAACCAGAGAAAAATTACCTGTAACATAAAGGAAGAATCACATGTCTATTAAGATATCTTACAAAGCCATAGTAATTAGTATATTAAAATTAATATGCTGGTATAGAACAGGCAAATGGGTCAACAGAAAAATTACTCACATATATAGGAGGCTCAGAAACAGATTAACATAGATATGAGAAATCTATTACAAAAGAGATTGACATTAAAGAAAGAAAAGATTATTTAGTCAAGGATGTTTGGAAAATTGGATCTTTATATAGATAATATTGTTAGACCCTCTACCTCATATAAAATATAAAGTTCAAGGGGAATAAATATTTTATTATAGAAATAAAACTATAAAGCTGATACAAGAAAATGTAGTAGAAGCTGGATAAAGAAGAGAAAAATTTAATCCAAAGCAAATAGAAAGAAGATATAATAAAGATAAAAATGGAAATCAATGAAACAGAAAACAAAAACAGAGAAAATTAACCCAAAACCTGGATACTTTGGCAAGATCAATTAAATTAATAAATCTCAATGGACACTGATCAAGAAAAGAAGAGGGAAAACAAAAAGTATCAATAACAAGAAAGAGAGAAGGCATCCTTCAGGCAGCAATAGGATAATAAAGGACTATTATGGGAAATTTCATGCAAACTGATTCTAAGTGAATAAAGCAAAATTCTAAGTTTTTTAGGAAAGTACATTGGCAAAGAAATCACATTCCCTTCCGATCTATGGCTGTGTGGCTTCTAAAGTGAACTCCAGTCTCTCAAGTTCACACCAGTAGGAAATGGGCTGTAAAGGTGGTGAAGCCCCCAAGAAAGTCATATTCTCCAGCGTCCGCTTGAAATATACACATGGAGGATAATGGCAAGAACATCCCAGAAAGCACAGTCCCAGCCCGTAGATGATAACAGACAAGGAGGTTCCTCTCATAAGGCAGAAACAGTGTCCAAGCAAATCACTTTATGTACTTCCAGCTCAGGGAGGCTTCACAATTACTGCCTGGCAAGATTTGGTCATCGCTATGAACCAGTGACTGCTGTGTGCTGTGCATGCTTCTCTTTTGGGAATGTGAGCTTGTATTACAGTTATCTTATTCCAATTCCACCACTACTTTTGATTGCAGAGAGGGCAGACAACTTGACAAATTATAAGGCCCCCTAGCCAATCTTGATGGAAAGGACTCACCTCACCATTATGGACTTTTGGGCTGGATGTCGTCATCGTATGGGGTATTGCAATGTCTTCCTTTGGGAGAGGGTAAGTATGTTCTATGCGAAAAGAAGAGCTCGTGGGCATTTGGGTGGCCGAAAGGTGTGCTGTAGCAGACTATTGTCTTCTAATATATTCTCCCTTTCATTACATTACAGAACTCTTACGTTTTAGCTGGGCTCATGACCACCCAGCTAGAGTCCCTTCTCTAGCCCCTTTGAAGCTAGGTATGGCCACGAGCCTAAGTTCCACCAGTAACAGGTGGGAAGAAATGATGTCTGCCACTTTTGGGTCATGTCCTTTAAAGGGATGTATGTGCACTGCTCTTCCCTCTTTCTCTCCCCACTGGCTGAATACAGATGTGACAGTGGGAGCCCAAGCAGCCATCTTAGACCAGAGATTGAAGCCACGTGTCAAGACTGACAAAGGTCCTACCAGACTTGTACCACCAATCTTTGGTTTATTAGGTAAAATAAATTAAGTGCAGTCCTTTTTACACTATGGTATTTCAGAGCGTTTCTTTGTTACGGCAGCTGAGACTGAAGCTAATAATAAATTAATACAAAAATTAGACAGTAGCAGCATTGACTTCCTCTGCCATGTTTGACAAAAATAAAGGCTGTGTCTGAGCTCCTCCTATGTTGGCGGTGTGCTATGATGAATTTAGAAGCCTCGAAGGCATGCTTGAGAGATGTTAGGTCCATGTCTCTAGGTTTATTCTTGTTTTATTTTACCAAACTAACCAGTAAGCTTTTGCCTGAATAAGAGGGGTTCAGTATGCCTGAAGAAGCAAAAGAGTATTTTTGAGGAAGAAACGAAAGAAATAGGAGGAAACAGTAGGGGAGAAAGGTTAAAAGGTGTATGAGTATTTAAGATACTTTGCAGAAAAGTATGTACAAAGTTACCCCTACTCTAACGCTACTTAATTTTCTTAAGTCAACATTATTTATACTTTTGGAGTTGGGTTTAAATTTTTGGAGGGAGTGATGCTAGGCTGAAATTAACCTCGAGGGGGTAGCAAGAAGCCCAGGAGGGCTATAGTACATTAAATCCTAATAGGAAATAAAAAATGAGAGCGTACTAGAGGCCTAAATTATCAAATATGTTGCTACTAGGTCAGGGAGGAGAAAAAATGATGACAAAAGAAGTCTGGAGTCAGTGAAAATACATTTGACATTACAATTTTGGATACAGCAGGACTCACTGACTTTCAACCAATGGCAGGTTGGATTAATTTTGCCTTTTCATATTATTAAATTGTCTATGACAAAAGGCAAAGTTTCTTTGCTTGAATTATGAAGATTTTTACCATTAAAGACTTGATTATAAAGGAACTGCAATTGTGAATCAAGGAATAGATCAGATCACCTAATTTGGGCCATATTTCTAATAATATGTTCCTGTTCTGAAAAGTCCGTAAAATGGAAACTATCAAGTGTACACTCCTATAAAATTACTTTTAAAGCCTGAGGTCCAGAAACTTTCTTTCAAAAAAGCTGTCCCTCTAACAAACATTACTTTATCCACAAAGGCTACTCCATAATGAAGTTCACTGCAGAGATCATGGCATATCCCGCCATCCATGGAACAAGACACCCTCTGTGGTGGACACAGAGATGCACTATACAGATCCCCCTTCAAGGAAGGACCAAGTGCCCCAGGTGTCAGCAGCCACCCTCCAGCTGACCATCCCTTCAGGATCTGCCTCAGCTGCAGAGAGCTGCCCTGCTCTCCAGCAAGCCCTCATGTGGCCCATATCCAAAGGCTGAGATAAGTGGGGCTAAAAGGCCCAATCCTTTGGGCCCAATGTGGGGCAACTCTGACAGGCCCACATGCTGTCTGTAGGCTTGGCTGAGGCTTTGTCAGGCCTGCATGGTAGTTCCGTCTCTCCCTCTACACAAGCCTGCTTGCTTCTCCCTTATACTGATCCCGATAAATTCCCCGCATGACAAGCCCATCTCAGTGTCTGCTTCCCAGAGAACCCAACAGGATTGTTTGGGAGCCAAGAGGGATCTTGGAAAGCTTGCAAGAAGATAGCCCCCGGGCCACCTGGCTGGCAATGAAGACCCCTGTCTCTTAGTCTAGAGAGTTAAGGTGATCTGGTTAAGCCCAGGCTCAGCAATATCTCCTTTTAAATTTCACCTTGCCGTTTGGCCATGCTAGCTGTACAGTTGCTCTTGGAAGGTCTAGAAAGACTTCCTGGGCCAGTGAAAGGACTTGTTCAGCATCTGGTTCTCCATCTTTGGAATGAATCAAATTTGACACCAAGCCAATTTCTGAACCCAATAAGCGTCAATATTTTATGAAAAGCATTTTTTTCTTATTTATTTTTTAGTTTACTGTAGGCTTTTGGCTTATTTTTCTTTTATTTATTTATGTTCCTGTTTATGCATTTACCCCCTGGAAGCAATTTGGCAGGAGAGTGATGCATTTTAATATTAAAATCTTACTGTATTTTATTCACAGTATATGGTTGAAGAAAGGAGCCATCTTAGTTTAGTGCTGTATAGATAAATGACTTACTAAGGGGTTTTGAAATGAATAAAATTAACACCATCATTAAACAGAACCAAAATCACGGCCATTGTTCCTCATGCAAACAAACAAATTCAAAATTATCTCCTGTCTTTGACAGCCCTTCCCTTCAGCAAGAGCACACAGCAGAATCCAAAAGTTGGGAGTCAATTTACAGTGTTTGAAAAGATTATTCAAAATCAAAGTCCCAAAATCTTGAAATCCATAACCTCTCCACAAACTTTTGTTACTAACTGTAGTGAGGGATTGAGATAAGAAAGAATCCGATTAGCTCCCTGAAAATAAGGCCAAGAAAATAACCTTTAAAATGAGAGAGTGCAGTGAGTTGAAAAGTAACCTTAAAAGGAGAGATTCAAGGCCCAACACCCAGTATCTACGAATGTGACCTAATTTGGGGAAAAAAAGGTCTTTGCAGATGTCATTCAAGATCTCAAGATGAGATCTTCCTGGAGTTAGATGGGCCCTAAATTCAGAGAATGTTGTCCTAAAAGAGAAAGAAGGAGAGGGCGATTTGAGACACAGGCACGAGAGCCATATGAAGACTGAGGCAGAGACTCCAGTCATGTGTCTATAAGCCAAGCAACTAGGAAAGAGGCTTGAAAGAGATTCTCTTCCAGAGCTTCCAGAAGGAACCACGCCAGCTGACATCTTGATTAAGGGCTTCTGGCCTACAGAGCTGTAAAACAATAAACCTCTTGTTTTAAGACACCGGGTTTATGGTAGTTTGTTATGGCAGCCACGAGAAACTAATACAGTCGGTGAGCAGGTACTTACTTTCACAGTGCCACGGGCTTCCCAGTGAGTGAGCTGAGCTTTGATTTCGGGCAGAGCCAAGTGTACTCTGAAGAGCCTGCGTATTAATGTAGCAGGGGTCGTCGAAGAGATCCACTCGACATGTATGCTTCATTAATGAGGTGTCTCTCTGGGCCTGCACCCCTCTCTCTTGGGCATTACCTGTAGTGATTAGTCATGATCAGCGTATCATGTTTTTGCTTTATAAACAATAAATAAAATCCTGTTTGAGTCTAGAATTGATAGGAAGCGAAAAGCCACCCCCATCCCATATAAGGACTGAATATTGACATTTAGATTTGACTTGTAAAAACAAGATAAACTCTGGTCTTTGAAGGAAAGCTCCCTGTCATTGTCCTTCCTGCCCCTGCCTGGCCCACCCCTCAGCTGACTCATTGCTTCTACAAAAGACAGGAAAGGAGCAAGAAAATCCCTGCAAGAGGACAAGCCGGGGGAGGAAGAGGGCTGACTGTGCGGCAGACAGCAGAAACCCGCACACCACATGGCTCAGGGCTGCCAAACAGGAACACAGAAAACACACATGCCCTGTGGAACTTGAATACCATTATTTAAACTGCTTGTCAAAAAACTCATTACTCGATTTAAAATTATTAAGAGCAGGAAGTCTGTCTTCTCTCTATGCCCCAAGTTTTGTTTTGTCAAGCTCAGCCTCACACCAACTGCTGATGTTTATTCTGTTTTTTACCAGAAAGGACTCACCCCTCAGACTCCTCCTTCCGCCTTATTCTGTCCTCTCCCAATGCATGCAATTCTATACATACAGCCAAAATGGTCTTTTTAAAACTAAAAATCTGATCATATTTCTCAGAGGTTTACTTTCATTGCTTCCCAGTGCTCTTCAGATAAAGCTCTTCAACCAGCCCCTGCTCCTAGTCACCTGTACCCCCATCCTCCACAGTCTGCCCCGGCTCACATCGTCCTTCCTGCAGTATAATCCCCACCATAAGGCCATCTTCTCTGATTGACGTGGTCCTGCCTCTCCTTCTCCATCATCCTCATCCTTTGGGTGTCAGTTTAAACATCACTCTCTCGAGCATCTTCCCTGACCTTCTCAGGCAAGACTAAGTCTCTCTGCTTTCCTAGCAATTTATACCTCACCTCTGAAGCCCGTATCACAAGAGTAATAAGTTCTATTGCTTATGTTATGTTTTTAATGTTTGTACTACATCTAGACAAGGATCCTGTCTTGTTCATGGCTGAAACTCCTGCTCCTAGCATATGCCTGGCACATAAAATCACATCAACAGTTGTTGAATGGATATTAGCACCACATTTCACTACCTGATAGCATGAAGTACTTTGTACCAACCAGATGGTTCCTGTCTTGGGAATGCCAGGATAGAACATTTTGGCCTTTCTGTTTAAACAAACACATTTATAGTTTTGACCATATGTGCTACAAGATCACCAGGAGGCTGCACGTGAAGTAGTGACACTGACATCCCATTGTCTTACCATAAGATATCAGTCCTTCTGTTATTTCAGTCATTAAGTCCCTCCCATGTGGTCCAAAAAGGACCAACTAAATACTGGATTTCACATCATGGTGAATAGTGCTTGATTCTTATAATGCATAAAAGGAAATCTAAGAGTACACCGAATAAAGGAAGCCCAGTCAGAAGACTACAGTCTTACTACCTGCTCCTTCTTTACTCCTTGTCTATCAGTGTTACGTGTCATCTTGTCCTATGTCATTCTCTGTGTGTGGGATATCCTGAGAAAGGAATGGGATTTCTGCAGAGGAAGGGGTTGACAAGGCATGTCATTTATTTGCAGCATTTTGCAACATATGGCTGTTTCCATTGGCTTGGTTAAGTGGATTTATGAATATATTATCTAGTTTAAACTAAATTTACTTTTACAAATGGGAGTGGCTAAAAGATCACTGCAAAGAAATCAAGAATTGAAATTATTCTTTTACTCTTAGTACAAGCTCCTCCTTAGTGGCATTAGAGCTTATTAACAAGCATGACCTAATTAGATCCAAACTTTGACCTCCCAAGAGTTAAAATTAACAAGATTTGAAATGTGGATTTGTGCCAATTTTCTTTATCATTAAATGTTCTAAATGTATATCAGGCCTTGAAATATTATCTAATGATAGTACTCAGCCATTGTAATTAGCAAAAGATTTTTAAAAATGTTTATCATTAACTCTATCTTTGAAATTTTCTATTTTTGTGTTTCATAATATATGCATAATATATTAGTATGTGTATATAACTTATACATGATTGAATTATCATTTATTTAGGACTACCTGCTTCTAAAAGTTAACTGAAAGTAGAATATGATAAAAAATGTAAGGGGTGTGCTTCAAAATTAACATGGACCTGAGTTCAGATCTCTGTGGTACCCCTTGCTATTTGTGTGGCCTGGGGCAAATTTCTTAACCTCTCTAAATGTCAGTTTTCATATCTGTAAAATGGGGGTGTCTCGGTTAAAATACAGTTGTGAGGATTAAATGAAAAAAATGTGGGTGAGACATTCACTCAGCATAGCACCTGCCTCATAGTAGGCATTCAATGAATAGTTCCTATCACTGCTCAGTTGTGTATTTATTCACTGATGCTGGGTCTCTGCACATGATGCTTAACTCTTGCTGCAATATCCATCCTATCCCTTTCTTCACCTAACTCCTATTGGTCCTTTAAGACTTTGCTCCGAATTCACCTCCTTCAGGAAGCCTTTCCCTATGTCCTTCCCTCCCCCAAGCTGGGTAAGGTGCCATTCCATGACAAGCTCTAGGTATCTGTTTACTTGTCTGTCTTCCCCTGGAGACCACAGATTGCTTAAGTCCTTGAGGAGAGGCTAGAATCCTTTATCGGTGTGTGTTTTGCATCTTCAATGCCTGGTAGAAAGCAGATGCTTGAAAGAAAAATGTCTGTCAGCTGAATGAACAGATGACTGAATGTCTACCCAATTTTCCTTTCTTAGCATATTTGACCCCACCATGTTCTGAAGACCCTGAGCCAACCTTTAGCACAGGGCACTGACTCGTCTGCCCCTCATACAACACTGACATGAGCTGACCACACCAAGTTGACCATCCCATAGGATTGCACAAAAGTACCAACGTCTATACCCAGTCTCTCGTGAAAACTACCATTCCTTTTTTTTAAATGCGCCATTATATTTAAGTCAGCAATGTCGTCTTAAATTAAAAAAAAAAAAAAAGATATCTCACCCTGTACCTAAATTTAAAATCTTTCTAGGATAAAGTGTTGATGAGAGCTCAACCACACATGCCAGCCATTACGCATTCCAAGATTTCTTGTGCCAAGTATTACTCTGAGAACCTATCCAACCTGCCTAAGAGAAGATCTGTGGGAGAAAATAAATACATGCACAGTGCAGATACTGTAAGTACCAACATTTTTAAGTGCAAGCCCTTAGGGTTTGTGGGAATTTAACATCTTTTTTATTAAAAATATCAACATTTCCATTTTAAGTTGAAGGTTGGGAAACATTATTCTATTTTGCTAATTATTTTTTCCATAAGGGAATTTATTATTAAGAATAGGAATCTTTTATACATCTGGCAATAAATACAATTAATTCCTTCAACAACCAGAAGCCTATTGCAGTACATATAATACACCGGAATTCAAGGTTTAAGTCAATATTTGAATAAATAAATGTCTTGGGAGGAAAAGTCAAACCTCATTGAAAATATCTGTATAGGTGTCTCTCAAATGCTTACGTATGAATCTCTGGGAAAACCCATAAAAATGTCTACTTGCTATTAATAGCAACTGCTATTAATTTGCTCACTGGTCAAGAATTTTAGATCCCTTTTTAAACATATGCCCAAGTAGTCACAGGCAGGCCCTAATATAGGAACACCTAATTTCTGGGTGTCTGTGGATGAAAGAACACTGAGTTAGGAAAGTCCTTCCTGCCACCATAGGAGGGACTTTACTTGTCATGGTCCCTGGAGCAGGGGTTGAGTCCTTCTGTCCCTCCATGGGCTTAGTGGCTGAGGTCTGGGGAAAATGGCTTCCTAGCATTCTGGTTCCCACTGGAAGTTAGAACCTGCTTTTTTCAGGAAACAATGTTGTAGCTCAGTGCTTGACCCACAGGAGGTCCTCATAAATAATCATTGAGCAAATTGTTGAATAAATGAAGAATATAAAATAAGATAAAACAGGGCATGGAGCTATTTCCAGGTGAACTTCAGCACAGGTAGAAAATAGTTACAATACTACAGGGCATACTTAGTATGTTCCTGACTATTAAATCCTTAAGTTAGGGATTTACAGAGTAAGGGAAAGGAGGGAGGGAAGAAGGAATTATAGCTCGTCGGGAGCACAGTTTTAAAAGGACATTTACACTTACCACTAATTTAATTTGTTTTAGTTGTATTATTAACAATTAGTTTGAAATTTTAAATACCTTTAAAGAATGGCATGAAATTTTAATTTCTATGAAAAGGAGCCACGCTTTTGAAGAATTTTAAATGCTGCCTTAGCTCACTGCTCATATTATTTTTGCAGGTTGGAGGAAGGTGGTAATCATAGCTGTACCTAAAAAATGAATCCTCATATTCCCTCACTGTATAAAATAATAAAATTAATAGAGTACTTTGGCATAATTCCCTAAGACATACAACAGTATCCTTGGAAACGACTACCTCCTAGATGGCAAGTTCCTGCTAATTTAATTTGTGTCCCTAAGTGTGGTTATCCAACTGTACCCTCCACTGAATTATTTATACTGTCCAGTTATCTCTCCACCTAAAGCTGCAAAACTTTAATTCCTAATGAAATAAAGACTTTCAACGAGTTATCAGAATAAAATAACTACCTAGCAGTATAACTTGTTTTTATGGAAATATATTTCCAATCTGATAGTTGATGTCCTATGTTGCACTGTGGAAAAGCTGTGCCCAACATCAATTATCACAAGCGGTAATAAGACATTTAATGCCCTGGCAAGCAATGGGGTAGATGGAATCCTAAGTGGGACTCTCACATTTCAGATTTCTTTTTGTTCCCTTTGGCAAGCAGAAATATAGGTTTTATCTTAATCCTAATGGACTTGACAAGCATTAATTTTCACATTAGCCTACTGTCTGATCTTTGAGATGGAATTCCCTTGAGTTTTGAGCAGAGAAAGTACCTTTCAATTGAGAGCTCTCATAATGTCAAGGCAGTGAAATATGCCATAAGGTAGAACAATAGCGCGGTAGAGGGAGAACCATGAGCCTTCCAAGTGACACACAGGTGGCATTCTGGGCCTCTCAGAATGTGGGAAGCCTGCAGTTGAAGTGTTACGTGTTTAGTTATATACACCTGCCTGTTCCATGAAGTATTTAAGAGCAAGGGCCACACATGACTACATGATTTCAAAGGAATAAGGAGAGTGACAGGTGCAGACGGCAACTGTACCTACCTATTGCTCTGCTTTGTTCCAAACAGTTCTCGTATACACTGCTGCACTTGGAGTTTCCAGGCTGCATGAACAACAAATTGTGAAACATTTACAAACATAGTGTGCATTCATCAACGTTCAAAAAACAAACAAAACATTAATGGTACCCCCAGCAGAAGATAGCAGACTTCATTCACTTTCCGACATAGGAAGTATCTGACAGGTAAAACAAAAGACTGAGATTTGGAGTGGGCTGGGTAAACGCCTTTCATCGTGCATTGTTTTGGAACTGCAGAGATAGGTCTGACTGGGGTGGGGGTCATCTCGGCTGCCACTGTAAGGTCTATATCCTGAGGGTTACTGCTTCTGCTTAGGAGTTCACTTTCCAGGACTCAATCCAAGTCTCATCCAGAAAGTGTGATTTCCAGGACACTTGTATAAACATTAACCATTTAGCAAACTTCTGTCTAACCATGAAGTGGCAGATTAGAGCCCACCTGTGCTGAGATTTGTGCCAGGCTCACTTTTCAATCCTTAAAAATCTCATGCTATCGAAGGGTTTCAATTATCCTTTCTACATATAGCAATCTTGAATAATGGAATGGGATCCATTAATACCTTTGAGAAGGGCAGTGTCTGTGTTTTGGAAAGATTAATCTGGCAGTACCATGCAGGGGGGTTTAAGGGAATGAAACGAGACAAGGAAAGGGCTTTCAGAATCATCTATGCAAGTGAGGACCAGAACTTAGAAAGGAGCAATAGTAATGGGAAAGGTCAAGTAGATTCAGAAGATATGTTCATGATAGAATCCTAGGTCTCAAAGACTGAACTGATATGGGACCCAAAGAGTGAGAAAAACAAATTCTGTAGATTAGTGAAAGAGTAGCAATGCTATTGATAAACATGAATGAATCAGCAGGGGAGTCTGTTTTGGAGTCAAGGAGAAAATGCTGAGTTCAATCTTGATATAAACAAGCAATGTAATGCTTGTGGCATTACAGCTGGAGAGTGAGGTAATGGCAGAGAAGCTGGAGGAGTGCACACAGAGGTGGCATGTGTGCAAAACCAGGCCCAAGGGCAGAGCATTGAAAAATGCTTTTATGGTGGTAAGGCAGGGGCTTGAGTTCCCCGGGGAGTGGGTGCAAAGATACAGAATATAAGAAGAAAAGATGCAACCTACTGCGAAACACATAAAAAATAAGATGGATTTATGGATGATAGATGACTACATAGGATGACAGAGCAAATACAATAGAATGTTACTTGTAGAATCTAGATGATGAGTATAGGAATGTTCACAGTATAATTCCTTCAACTTTCCTGTATGTTTGAAAACATTCATAATAAAATTTGGAAAACATGAAAAAAAGAAAGAAAAACAGCAACTAGAGATGCAGAATGAAATGATGGACATGTTTTAGAAGCTAACAGTCTAAAAGAAAAGAAGAGGCAGCCAACAGGCATGAAATGTAGACAGAGTCAAAATATTGAAGAAGGAAATAGAGTTAGCAATTAAACCATCGGTGACCCAATAAACACTGGTGACCAATGTAAAAGTAACTTCCAGCAAATTGTCAAGCAGAGTTCAGATCTTAGAAATGTAGTGTGGGTGTGAACGCAGAGGTAGAGGCGTTTTTTTTTTCCAGAAATCTGTGGGTGAAGGGAAGATGAGAAGGAGATGGGACATTATTTGTTGAGCTGGAGGAGTCTAAATTTACTTGCAGACACAAGGGAAAGACCGGTAGCCAGAGAATAAAGATCGATTCAGAGGTCATGGACAGAACAAGGGCACAGAGTTGGTAGGAGGGGATGGGATCAGGAGCTCAGGGGAAAGATTAGCTATGGAGACAGTAACTAAGGAAGAGAACAAGGAGAACACAGGAAGACTTGGAGATGGGAAGGGCGAAGTTGAAACAACATGTTGAAAACTGCTAGTCTTCCCAGTGAAGTGAGATGTGAAGTCATTGGCTTAGGCTGAGGCTGGGGGATTAGGAGGAAAAATGATCTACTACAGGCTCTGACAATGATTCACTCTCTGGCTGTGTACTGAGGAAGATGATACTTTCTCCAAACTAGCATTTGGAAACCCTCAAATTAAGCTCTCTGGTCATAAGGACAGCATCGGATGGCTAGTTCCAATAACAATAAAACATTACTTACCAAATAGCACAACTTTTCACACCGTATGGGGCAGTAAGCCATTTGTTCTGTGGCTTGAACTTTGATCCGCACATCTGAAACACCACCTAAGGGTGGCTGCTTCCCCGGTATTTCGTTGTAATACTCGTGATCTCCTCTCTCCTCGGCAGCGCCATCAGTGTGCACCTCACTGTAAGGGAGAAAAGAATCCCCAAGAGGCTGGGCGGGAATTCAAATGCTGTAGGGGATGCAGAGGGATCAGAACCATGCAAATCACCCTGAAAAACTCTGCATGCATGTTGTTAAGTTTACAGATGTGCTTAAGTGATGTCAAACATCTGGATGGAAGCAACCAGATGGTTGAGTTGTTTAGATTTCTGTAGACAATTAAAGTGGGGTAAGCCAACAAAGAGCGCCAAGGGTGATGCTTTTGTGTCTCCCCTCCAGTAATTAAAAATATATATACATATGAACTATGTATGTGTCTATATATGAACATGAACACACACACACACACACACACACACACACACACACACACACACACACATATGAACTCCCTGAATATAAAGCATTTTTGTCAGTGAGATATAAAAATACAAAGTCTTCCTGGGTATCTCCAGCTTTGTATCATTTCATAAATGTTTTGCTCAAAAAAATTTAGACATTGGGAGAAGGCCTGGCCCAGTTTATTAAACCAAGATGAAAAAAATAAAAGAGCTATGGCAGCTATCTTGTCTGCACAAATCTGGAGGAGTATATGGGATTCATAAAGAAATATTAGAACCACATGTGGCAAGTGGGTAGATTTATGTAAACATGCATTGTTTTTAAAATTGAAACAGGGCAAAAAAAAAAAAACCCAAAACAAATGTACTTTTCTTCCAAATTGGAATTAGTAAAAGTTTCTTATGAAAAAAGAATAAATCAGGGCCTTTTGGAATGAACCAATTCCATTGACAACACACACAGTTTCTGTGGGTTCATAACATGTCAACAAAATGACAGCACTAAGATGTAAGTCCTATCCTGGGAAAAATTCAACATCAAGGCTTTCTGGTAACCCTTATCCTAAACCACCTCATAAAGGGCGATATCCAAACCTAGAGTTTATTGATATACAAAATTACCAATTTGGGGGAGAAATGCATTTAAAAGTTGAGAAGAGTTTCGTTTCTCAGGTGTGAATTCTGTGAGCCAGGGTTCCCACTGCATTCCACACAAGGTGGGTCTGACAGGCCTAAAAGGGTTCAGCTTTCATTGCGGACTTTCTGTGCCTTAGAACAACCAGGTCCTTGGGTCACATTGTATTCCACCCCTGCCACACTTTAACTAGAGCTGGTCTATTTACATTGCAAACCTGCAAACTAACAGGGATTCCTGCAACAAACATTTGATTCTTACTATTCTGCTCTTCATTCTTGATTTTTTTTTAATCGATATGCAAGGGATTTGGGGTTGAAACAAATCTGAGAAACTTGTTGATGTTTGTTATTTTATGATACTACTTCATTAATTCATAGCTCTGTATAACAGCAGAGAAACATGGCTGATCACTTCTCCCTTTAAGTGTCTCCTTTAATTTTATTACAAAACAAGAAGAAATATCTGGACAAATATGAATGGAAGAAAAATAAAAAATGTGACTCTTAGTTTATACTAAAACCATGCCAATTTGTAAGAAAAAAATTACTAATTTCATTGGTCAATTTTAAAATGCCATATTAATTTTAAAATTAAACAAAATAGAGTAAGTCAAATAATTATAGAGCTATTAGCTGACCTTTCACAAGAAGTATTCAAAGAAGGATTTTTCAAATACTGTTTAAACCGGAGCTCAAAAGCCTGCCCAATGGTACTTATGACGTCTTGGGCCATTCCATTGCGGCATTCCAATATGTGGCAGGCTACAAAGGGACATACAAAAAAATTATCGTAAGTTTTCAGTAAGAGAAGATTATATAAAGTCAAAATACTTCCAGAACATGAACTGGTAATTAAATAAAAGGGTGTAGGTTTACAAACTCTCATCGGCTCTGAAATGGCATAACAATACCTCATATTTCTTAGGCTTCAAAGAGAAGAAACACTCATATTTTACATCTAAATATCTCAACACACTTACAAATTTTGGTCTCAAGGCAGGTATCTCGGGCCCATATTTTTAATAAAAGGAGACTGATCTTGACTTATACTCATGTTCACTGTTAGCTCTAAAATTCAATACAGGAGATGCGAGGGCAGCCATCTGAAGGGAGGGTGAGGTTTTCCCTCTTTGCCTTGCATGGTATGCTACAGAAGACTGAAAAATGCTAACTTTCCAAACCTCCCCACCACCCCACAAATGGGGGCTGCGCTACTAGTGAAGACAGGAGCTTTAGAACAGCCCTCCTCTAACCATCCGTTTGCCCTGTCTTTGGCAGCTAGCAGTGACGGCACGGTAACCCGACTTTGAAACCCTACAGAAGAAGTATATTCAATAAGTCTCAAAATCAAGATTTCATGAAGATGACATCAGAAGATAATAAATATTTTTTCTTAGACACTTTCTCTGAGAAGTAGTTACTGGGAAGGGCTAGTTTTCACTCTCAAATTAAAGAAATAAATTGTGAAGGGGGCTGCTGACAGAATATCACAAACGAATTAACACATTTGCAGCTGTACATAAAAACTGGAGACCAAACAAAACAAAAACAAAAACAAAAAAAAAACCAAAAACCAGGAGACTGTATGTGTTCAGGGACTACAAATTAATCTCCCCACCATGTGGAATATTGTTCTTGCCTCAGTTAAAGTATGATGTCATGTTTAGGACCTTGCAATATGCAGATTTACTTGAATGCAAAGCTTCATAAAGATGGCTTCGAAAGAGTGCGAAGGATGACAAAGAGAGAGGCAATGTCTCATGAGAAATTTTTTTAAATGTATATTATATAGCCTGAACAACTGAGGGATGAGGAAAAGCTTTATAATAGTTAAATATATACAAGAATATTGTAAAACAAGCAAATAAAACTGTCAGCTGTCCGCTGAAAGTAAGAAAGGCTTAAGTGAGTGCATGGGGAATTAAATTAGATAGCAAGGAATCATCGTGGGTGTTGGGAACCGTGAAACCAATACTGGAACACATTACGAAAAGGGATACCTGAGGCGAGGAGAGATGCCTGTGTTTATGGAATGATTTAACTGTGTTGACTTAGAATCATGATTTTATGCTTTGTATTGTCTTGGGAAATTTTTGTATTTATAAGTAAGAGGCAATTCATTCATTCACATCTGATCGAATTTGCAGAGCCTGTAACACCAGGTGATAGTAGAACCTACAATGTTGCTTCTTAGCCTTATGTTGATAATCAGCTCAAGGAATATCAGATTATTGTCATTTCAGATTAGCTTGATGTTTATGTAAAGGATTTACATCATTGAATACTTTTGGAAGGAATGGGGGTGGGGGTATTACTAAATCAAACAAAGCTACATGTGTCAAATCTCCAAGAGTTATTCATCATTTCTTATAAAGTTGTCCCTTTAATGAAGCAACTTGGGTCCTGAAATAGACAAGGAGCTAATTACAGTTTTGAAAACCCATTTAAGAATATCTATAAATTGACACCCTTTCTACAGAAAGAAAATGTTTGGTCTATCTTTAGACTGACATTTTATATTGACCCTTCTTTTTCTCTACAGTAGCTTCAGACAGTGAACGATGCATATAAGGTTTTTTTAAGATGTGTTTTGAATGAATAAATACTGATTTCCCTGAATCACATCAATAATTCTACTGTGAGAAATTATCTTCAATTTTACTGAAATGAGAACTGCAGTGAGCTCTCGTAGTGGGGCAGGTGCTTACAGCCACTGAGTGATATGAACGATTGCTTGGGGCATTTGTGGAAATAGTCTCCTCCTTCCTGGTCAGGCCTCATATCTTTAAACCTACAAAGTGCCATTGGAGAAGTACCCTCCAGTTAAGCCAAAAGAAGTTGTGTTACATTATGATCAAAAATGGTAATTCGTTTGAATTGTTTTGTTTTTCATCTCATAAATTCCTGCTCCAATTAAAAATAAAGACCAGAAATCACATCAAAATAGAGATGACAATTTTTGTAATTTTATTTTTTCTTAGGATCAAAGAGCTATCTAGAGATAAAGACAGTGAAAAAGAGGCAGAAAATTCTTAAATAAATAAACGAGAGAGAGAGAGAGAGAGAGAGAGAGAGAGAGAGAGAGAGAGAACTAAAATGTGCCTCCCATGAGAGGGATGAAAGAACAAGGATGTTTAAAAGAAATCTGTGAAAAGTTTCAGATCCAAAGATCCAAGTTGAAGTTTTCATTATGCCACAATCTCTGGGACCCCAAATAAGTCACTCTACAGCAAGGACCTCACCTGCCACGACAGGGCACTAGATGATCTTTGAAGTCCCTTCTTGCTTTATAGTTATCCTATCCTTCCTCTGTGGCAGCAGTTTAAACTCTCTTAGGAACAGGGCAAGGTGCAAGGGCGGGCAGGAATGAATGAATCAACCAAACCCACAGCTGCCCTCTACCACTTCTCACATACTTCGAAAATGTTTGATTTTCTTAACTTTTCCGAGTCTGATACTTTGATGTTTTGGTCCTGTTCCTGGGCTGATGCAACCAACATAAATTTCTGCTTTACTTTGGATAGCCTTGTTACTGCCATATTACATTTTTGAAAAGAAAGGGAGGAAAAAACCGTGGCGCCTATCTCCATGAAAGAAAGAACACTGGGCAAAAAGGTGACCCTGGGCAGAAGTCCTGTGCAGCCTCACCACCTTCAGGGAACACACACATTTTGATAGTGTTCTTGTTGCCACTCCATGCTGCTCCATGAAAATGGTCTTGGCTATTTTTTAAGTTGGTCATGGACCAGAAGAGACACAGGCTTTAAATCACATTCAAATATGCCCATTTCCCAGTGTTAAACACACTTCCAAATGCTCAGAGAAGCAGCCAGTTTGGCTAAGAATTATCCAATCTTTAGTTAATGGGAAGAAGAAAGACAAGTATATAAAAAGTGCCAATTCCCAGAAAAGAATGTGATTTTCCAGTGATATAACTTTGCATGGAGGCCTGAGCTTTAATCTCTATGTGTGGAATCAGATGGGGATCTGGGTTCTTTGTATTCTACCTTGGAGCTACATACACCCACAGTTCTTTCCTTGGGTATTAGGTACTACACTAAGTAGGATTTAAAAGAATCTTAGATTTATATTCTTCTGTCTTTTACATTTGGGGTCCTAATGAGATAGTCATGAGCAAGGAGCTGAGACTATTCTTAGAGGATAACGGGCCCTTCTTTACTGTTTTATATTTGTTTCTAATGGACCAGTTTTTGTTGTTGTTGTTTTGTTTGTTTTTTTGTTTTTGTTACTAGAAAACAAGACATTCAAAAGTGCAGCTTCTCAGATTAACCACCAGAGAGTGCTGTGGGATCAATGCATGGCGTTCACCATCCCTTAGGAAGAAACCAGCCTGAAGAAACAAGCCAGCAGTGAGTCCACCGTTGGCTAATGTAATCACGACAGTAGTGTGTGTATTTTATAACCATAAACATAAATCCAAATAAATGGGTTATTTTAAATTGGTTGTACAGTCTTTTTTTTAAACTTTCTTCACTGACTCAGAACCATGGTCTTCCTATATCCAGGTAATTCAGATAAACCGGGGCTTCTTAGACTAGATTCAGAGAAAGTATTTAAACCTTCCTGAACTGCTGCACATTTGCAGTAAGAAATGAAGAGATTTCCTTATTTATGGCAATTAAAGGGTTAGGCTGTATTAGTCACTAAGTAAATTCAAAACATTCTTACTGGAATTTACCTTTTCTACCAAAAAAAAGAAAAGGAAGGCCTTTTATAAAATGAGGAGTTCACTCAAGGGTCCTCGCCAAGATGGAAAAAGGTGGTAGCTGCCCTGACTTGAATGCACTCATGCGAAAAGTGAATCAAGGAGACAGTGGGGACATTCAGGATTAGCATGAAGCCCGGACTCCTCTGCCTTCACTTCCAGTTGGCTATGCCCTCCTCATCCCTGGGGTCTGTCCACTGGCATTGTGCTCCCCAAGCTGACCAATGGCCTGTTAATTGCAGGACTAAATGGCATTTTCCACCTCTATTCTCCTTAACTCCTTTGCAGCATGACATACTCCAGGGGTCTTTTCCCAGAGAAACTTGCTCTTGCTCCTCCTCCTCAGGTGCTGCTCATCGCCGGGTTTTCCTCCCTTCCGCTGACTGCTCCTCAGGCTCTTCACTGTCTCCTATGACTTCTCCCACGCCCTGACACCCTCAGCCCTCTTCCTTCTGGGTTGCTCCTTTGCTGATCTCATTCACCCTTAGGGCTAAGAAGTTGCTGTTTTTCCAAACCCTCACTGAAGGCCTGAGCTGATAGTCTCTCTCTCTCCTCTCTCTCTCTCTCTCTCTCTCACACACACACACACACACACACACAC